ACTCAAAGTACTTATCTCGATATTTGTGGAAGGTCAAGTTTATAATCTTCTGTTTTGTGTATTTTTGAAGCAGTTTGCGCTGTGGTGTATAGAAGCTTTTTAGGCTACAACAAATGCATAAGCTTTTGAGTTTCCGAAATTCCTCAAATATTTCCGATTCGTCAAACATTGCAAGCAAAAGTAACCAAATAATATTTTAATTCAATTAAGGTAACAAAAAAGTATCAGCCCATTAAAAATTAAGCACTTATCGAGTCCTTTAAAATATTTTACAAATTCACAGTTTTGACAACGTGCTCAATTAATTATAACATGCGTGTTATAAGCTCATTTTAAAAAATGCTTAAATTAATCACCAATCCTCCCTGGACATGCCTCATAAATTAAGCAAATTAGCCTCCAATTGAAATTCATAATATTTATGAAATGCCTTAATCTCTGGATTTACATCAAACGGACACAATAAGCAGAAAATCTCGATTCAATGATAAAAAGTTGAAATTTTTTTGGCACGGATCAAAATTATCTATTTTTAACATTTCAATGGCACGCAAGTACTGAAATTTGCACTCTATTAAAATGAATGGAGAGGTGACATTCCTTTCCAAAAAAAAAAAAATAAAATTATGCAATTGTCGACAGGAAATTTATGTCAATTTACAACATCATTTTCAGACCGTGAATTGATATTTTATTATAAATAAAAAATAAAAAAAATAAACAAACAAGAAAAGCAATAGACAAAAAAGAGACATAAGAAAAATAATTATGAATATATATGCGTGGGAAAAGAGTTCAAGGTTAGCGACACGCACTGTGATGAGAAATGAAAAATCAAAAAATTCAATCGTGAGGTTTTTTTTGTGCTGCCGCTGACTTTATTGTTATTTTTTTCTTCCCATTCAAATTTATGGTAAAATTTTAGGAAGCATAAAATTTTTTTTATTTCATTGACTCTTGTGGAATTTATGACTAGATAAAGGTTTATGGATTTAAGATTGCTGTGGTTTTTTTATATTGCAAGACAGTTTCAGATGACGGGGTCATAAGCAAGCACAGAATCACGTAATTTGGAACTGGAGTTTTCAACTATGACATTTATCAAGTAGATGTTAAGTTTAGATAGTCGAAAAAGTGAGAGGATAAATGACGAAATATTGCATGTGTAGCGGATTTGCGTTCTCTCTTGAGATTTTGATGCTTGTGAACTTTGCTTTGTGCTGAGGATTAATTTAAATTGTTTGTTTCATAAAATTAAGCTTTTTACAGTTTTTATTGTAATTAAGAAGAGTTATATTCAGATTCTGGAGTGGAGGTGAAGTCTAAGAATCTGTGAATAAGAGGCTGATCAAGATTAAGGACAGATTTTGTATTAGTTCAAGCAAATCTTAATATTAGAATAAAAGCAAATAGTAAAGTCACTCAAATGCAAGATTTTATTAAAGCTTTGAGTGTTTATGAGATGATGATATTAAGGCTGCATTTCTACTACGTTAAAATAAAACTCCTTTGGGGCCGTTCACTTATTACGTTACGCAATAAGTTACGCATTACGTTTTCACCCCCCCCCCCCCCTTGTTACAACTCACAACCCCCCCCCCCCCCCCCCTGAACGTTTATAATTTATTTTATTTTGATAATTTTTCATAAATCATTAAAAAGGTGGAAAATTTAAAAAAAAATGTTGTAAACAAATTTTTTTCGTATTTTTAAAAGACAGACAACAGTTAGAACGTTACATACTTCTTGACCACCCCCCCCCCCCCCCCCCCCCCCCCCCCCCATGTTACATTTTGTTACAATTTTTCAAATAAGTGAAAGGCCCCTTTCGGATCATAAATAAATGAACAAGAGGTTTATTCTTTGGAGTTCAAAAACAGCCTCAATATCCTTCAAAGGAGACTGACAACTTCAAAAGGGGGAAACAACCAACAAATTTATATATTAAATGACGGTTGATAAAGTCAATAAAAAACAACCAAAATATTCTGAATCTAGTTCGAAGATAACAAAAAACCGAGTAATTGGAACAATTCAGTAAAAAATCAGCTATATAAAATTTTTCTAAGCTGATTCATGCCTAATCATCCCTTTAGGCCATCCAATCATCACCATAATCAACAAAATCTCGTCATCATCACGATCAATTATTCACTTAAAAACCATCCATTCAAGTAATTCCGATTTGATGACAATCTATACTCAAATATGCACCATAACTTCACGTATTGCTTTTCATTTTCTTCAATAAATACATAACATCATTAGTGGCCTACAAACGCTACGCAAATCGTGCAAAATAAAGAAAAATTATGAAAGAGAACTAGTTTCTTTCCTCTTCACTCAATGGCTCATTCACTTATATTTTATATTTTTGCAGCAATGTACATTCAAAACATAAAGTAGAGAAGAAAGAAGAAGTGAAGAAAAAAATTCAAACGATAGTGAAAGTATGACTCAATATGACTATAAACCTATACATTAATTCCGTCGTCTTTTGTTACACATTTCTCAGCTTTTCTCACATGCAGTTAATAGTTTATATTTATTAGGCACAAATATTGATTGTTAAATGTGTTTTTATGGTTTTTTATGTACTCTACAAAGTCCCTTATATGTGTATTGCTTGTTTTGATTAATGACATTTTCAGTTCATTGGGATTATCTTGGCTTTCATCATAGCGTCAAAGGGCTTGTCTATAAATGACGTCATTCAATAAATTAGAATTTTCGAAACATATCCTTACTTTGTATAGCATTAAATGACATACAGTTTTAGACCCCCTTTCACAATAACTGTAAGACGTCACTTATGAACGACCTCCATACGCCAGAGAGAAATGTCGTGTGAGCACGTGAGAATGGATCGAATTATGCAATTTGCTTGACACTAAAGCACCGATAAATTATCTTTTATTGAGATGGGAATTTTCATGTGAAAATAATAACATTAATTAAATTACACGGGCTTAGTGATAGGCAAATATTATTATTACAGCTACTGCTCAATAATGATATGTTGTGTTTGGAATTTAATTAAATGGATAGTAGTGATACATTGTTAAATAAATTTTCAGGCTCAATTGAGTGTTTATATGGTTGTAATCAAATTAATCATGCAATTTAACTCGATCAATTTTTTGAGCGGATGATGAAAATGCTGGTGATTTGATTTAAATAAATGATTAATCGTAATCTGGGATTATCATTTCACACTTTCGATTAATTTTTGAATGATTGGTGGATAGATAGAGTCTAAGATGAAGACTATACAAAAATATCTTTCATTTTTAAATTTTTTAAGGTTTAATAAGTTTGAATTATTGAAAAATATTTGAATACATCCAGAATAGTTATTCGATTGCTGTGCTTGAAAAACTTCAATATCCTGATTTATTTTTGGCAATTTCAAAACTTTCAGGTTAACTCGATTTCAACATTAATAAGTTAAGTTTGCTGCAAGCTTGAGGGTTTATTAATCGAATCCATATTATTGATATTTCTGGAATTATCAAGCACAGATCAAGAACTTTGTTAATTAAGCAAACAAGCCAGAAAACCAATTTAAAAGACCTTAACGACCCCCCATCTAGATAAGTTTCAACCGTAAAATAATATGACTTATTCCTGTTAAATTCTCGTTAAACATTGTTCATAAACAAAATAATAATAATAATTTCAATATCCAGCACAAAATTCGTTCACAGCAGATCATAACAATAGTTAACAATCCAGTAAATTTGCCTCAAAATAAGCCAGACGTTTTTTGCAAATGGATTTAATTTCAAAATTGATCTCAACACAAAAATACGATTGCACTTGAGCAATAATCGTAATCGTCTCAACCGCTATGTAACTTATTAAATCGTCATACATTAAAATTTGCAATAACTTTGTAGACTTGAATTATCCCGCTCAGCTTAAGATTGGTCATTTTTTTGTGTGGTATGATTTTAAATCAAAAGTAGGTCAACATTCTTCATGCTCAAGATTGCATAATTAAGACATGTCTACATGCAAATCCTTCTTAGAATCATGTCAGTCACTGATGAATCTTACTTAATTTAAATAAAGCTTATTCATTAAGTCCGGATAATCCAAATGTCAAAGCAATTAAACAATCATTCAAAAGTGTCATTTCAAATTAGACACACCAAACAAAAGCACATGCATGCAAAAATTTCAAATACTTCCAAAAAATAAGAAACAAAATTTAATTTCTTGCACGCTTCAGAAGAGAGCAAAAATCTTTTTCTGAACTTATTCAATGTCATTAAACAATTGAAATTAAGACATTATACTTAGTCATCTATTTGAGCAAGTTCAATGCTGTATTTTCAAAATATATTCACTATTTAAATGGAATTGAAGACAAAGAAGAATTTTAATTATTTTGTGATTCACAAGGGGTGATAATTTGTGGACGTTTAGCAATGGAGTTTGGATTGTCAATTGTTGGATGGATTTGACTTTATGTCATTTTATTTGAGGAATTTTTTGTAAGTTTTGGTTTAAGTTTTTGTTTGAATTTAAGTTCATTGAATTTTGTTGAGTTTTGTATATTTTTGTAAACTAGGATCGAACTTAGTTATGATAAATTGTTCTAGGGTTTGTTTCTAGTTGATCCAGAACTAAATTTTGTTTTGAACATTGAAAATCTAAATCTTGAATAGTGTTCATTCTAAATTAAACAAATTTAATTTTTTAAACTTTGCGATTCACTGAAATTATTCAAATTATTGAACAAAAAGTGTTCTTGATGATGAAAAATTGCATTAATTCTAATATAAACTATTCAGGATCATCGAAACACACTTCAACACAATTTCAAAACTTAAATCACATCAAGAAAATAAAACATTGAATTTAAAATCTCAAAATTGTCATCAACTTAATGAAAATTAATCAAAAATTTCTTAAGTTCAATCAACCTCCAAAAATTTGCAACTTAGTCAATAGAATATTTGAATTTTTATATCCGAAAAATAATTGATACATACCAATAAAATATTAAAGCAGAATTTCATAAGATTATTTTTGTATGGTTTCATATTTCCTTTTTTGTACTTTAATTAATTTTTTTTATTGTACACCAATTAGAGTTTTTCACATTTTCAATAATTAATTCCTTTTAATTTGATCTCGTGTTCCTTATTCGGTAAGAAACTTATTTTTTTCTTCTCAAAAATATTTCCAATGCACAAAATTTGCACAAAAATGCCACAAAATTACAAAAACAAGCAATCTCCGTTCACGTTTATTTTCGTCGAATGTTAAACCGTCACTAAGAAGCAATTTTCTTTCGCGCCGATACTTAACACACATATTTTTGAGTGAGCTCGCGAAAACAAGTCGACGACTGTCTGTTTACGCTCATTTTCTCAGCTCCACATAAAATAAGGCAAGCAGCTGTATACATTGAGCGAATTGCAAGGCAAAAATAAACAAAAACGACCATGTGCTTGAAGCTGTGCATGAGTTTACACTCGAGATATGAGATGCGAGAGAAATAAATGTCTGAGAGCAACACGAGAGTCGATAGATTAACGAAAAATAAAGGAAGTAGTTGCCAAATATAGAATGATAAAGTCATAAAAATAAAAATGATGACAATCTATAGAATATATTTTTTTCATGTGCTTGTAAAGCTTGTTGTGGGTGGCTGAGTCAATGTTTCAGCAGAACAACAACAATTTTTTTTTTGGAATGGAGATCAAGAACCTGTAGCCAGCTTGTCAGTCTGCCTTAAAACTTTTTTTTGAAAAACAAAAAATTTTATATCTTTAATTAATGCACGAGAGGAGATAAAATCTGGAAATATGGAAATTGCATCAAACTGGTTTTAAATTCAATCATTTATCGGAACAGGCATTTTTACGTCTGTGCCTTTTTTTATGACGTTGAGTATTTTTTCAACATCACTTTTATTACCCAGGAGGTTTTTAGGCTGAAATTTTCGTCACTATTTTATTGCTGTCTGATTGGATATGAGTCAATATTTACACACGAGATAACATAGTTTTTTTATAGACGGATCAGTTTCTATAAATAATCAATAGATGTTTTATGACTCAAGTCTAATTTGTTTACGAGAATTCTGGGAAGTTTACAAAATACAAAATTCTGGAGGTGTTAAACAAGCTTTTAATGAGTATGAACTGTGGCTTATATTCATTATAATGAATTCGGGATCTGGGAACTCTGCATTGACGTCAGAAACAAACGCGAATTCCTAAATAGAAAATTGATATTATTAAGTTTTTCCACTTGACTCATTGCTTTGATAACATGTCCATTCATAAATGTTGCTGAAATGTGGATGTACTTAAGTAAGACGGAATAAAGTGAAACTTTGTAAGCGGTTTGGAATCTGAGGTGACTACAAACTTTTTGCGGCTTGTTACCAGCTGCACTGATCGGGTTCCGGATGTTTTTGTTCCCACTTTTGTTTTCCGGGTATAAGACTTTGTAGCTGTGGGTTTTGAGTTTGGCGACGTGACAAACTCTTATTTTTAAAATTATCATTATTTTGTCATAATTCAAGTAAGTACTAATTTAGATACATTTTTTGAACATTTATGATGTCGATAGTCCCAATTTATAACTGTAAGCTTAAGGAATGGTTCCCCATCGAAGCAGTACCTAGTAACCAAAAGGTAGATCAATGTATTCCATGAGAATCTTCCATGGATGATACATATGTATTATTCATGTATTATCCATCGGAAGATGATGTCCTATGAAAATGGAAGATAAATGGACAATGCAATAAGACATCAATGTAATACATCAAAGGAATACAAATGGAAAACAAATGGATTACTTTTTTTGGATAAAACACGTGGTAAATTCCACGTGTTATTTCGTATTTTTCATTTATTTGTGTAAATTATTGTAAAAGTATTAGTGTGTACTTAATTAAAGTACACTAACACTACGAAAAAGAACAGAAAGGATTTAATTTAATTAAGTCGCATACTGATGAACGCCCAAGACTCGCACACAAACCTGAGGAAGATAAATAATTAATTGAAAGCCCCATACAAATTTAGAGAGAACTTATAATAGTGATTTCTTCGAGCAATTGTGAAGTATATGGCAAATGCCAAATTTAGAACAAATATTATTTTCCTGCGAAAAAATATTTTTTTTGATGATTTTTCATAGGATTTGACCCTAAGCAGGCTCGGGTAATACTTCGATGGAACACTTTTGTTACATGTTTGTAAAACAAATATTTTCCATATAATAAATAATGATACATTTGATCTTCCATCGACGTCGAAGGAAGATTATATGGAACATTTTGGTTACTAGGGGTTAATGCTAGTTAAAGCTTTGATTATCTTAAATTGCATCCAAACTTTCTTTACTATCATAATTACACCTCAGTCTTCTTCAAACCGTATTGACTACCAAAGAGTAGTCAGGGAAGTGTCATTGGGTTCAATCCTAGTCTCGACAGTAAATTTCTTCAATTGCTAAGGTTTTTTGACATAAAATATCAAAAACCTTTCAAGAAAACTCCAATTTTAAATAATTCTTGAATCCGCAACTGTCATCGACCCAACATATGTACCACACACTGCTATATACCCTACAATTTCAAACTCCATAATACCTCCATTAATCGAAATATTGTGTCATCCAAATAATAATTCTTTATCTTCATTCTAGTTCCAAACATCCAAAAAAATTCTCAATATTGACTTAAAATTCTAAAAACAAGCCGCATATAATGCTTAAAACTTATTCAGGATTTTCAAGATTCTTATTTCGTTCTCTTCGTTTTGAAAGAACTCTATGTTCCCATCACAGCACATCTTATGTCATAAGACATTGAGTTTATCTCAAAATAAGTCTTAATATCATCGATTTCAAATAAACATTTCTAGATAATTGGCAGTTTTTGAGTTTGTTTGCATACTCTATCGTGGACTGAATGACACTTGTGTTCTCAATTTTTTTATGAATAATGAAGAAAGAGAGATGAATAGGACATGGAATGTCAGTCTTAGAAATGTGACACCAGCTACTGATGAAAATCTTGATGGATGTACATCAAACTACTCAAATTCAGATACAAAATGATTAATTAATTCTTAGCATTTTCATATAGATTTGAAATTAACATTCAGCACACCCGCATGCTGCCAATTCTACACTTTAAATTCTTTATTCCCTCAATTTTCAATCTTTATGGACAAAATAGTTTAAAGCAGGAAAAAAAATAGAAAATGTAAAGTGCCTTACCACGCATTTTTGCAGAAGTAATACACGGCAGTAAATAAAAATTCCGATTTACTTCTGGCTCATGACTGTAAACTTGTTGACTCCTAATAGGAGCCGTTCACTTATGACGTCCGACATTTAGGGAGGGGGTCTAGGATTTTGTGACAGTTCAAACAATGGAAATTTTTTTCTATAGAATTTTTGTGACAGAGGGGGGGAGGGGGGTAAAGAGGATAACAACATGATGAACAACACGGAATGGAATACCAGAAATGGAAGAAAAACTGATGAAAAATTCAATCAAAACATTTTCCCATCATGCTATTACCCCCCTGCCTATATATGAAAATTGCAGGCATTTTTTTTGACCCATAAATTTTACTGTGCATAACGTAAGTCGTGATTCAATCAATCAATTGCCTGGCGCGAGTCACTCGATAGTAAATAATACTTTTTTTTTGCATAATTACTACCGAATTAAAACCATAAAATTTATTTGCTGTGCCTAAATTATGCCTCATTGTGTACCCACTACAATTTTTCATGCATTCTTAATTATTTGATGATGTTACGATCAATTTACAGAAAAGACGTCTGACCATACCAAAATTGGTAAGGAAGAATCGACAAAGAACTGCAATTAATTTTTTTGTAGTCGCCAGCTTACATTATCCAGGATATTTAAATTTGCGTTTATTCTAGAAACACAGAATCACACTTTATAAGCTTGGCTGAAACTGGATGTATGAGGGTGGACATGATTTAAATTTACATTCAGTATGTAACTGTTGAAGTCATAAAAAAAGTATTCAGTACATTGCTATTTTATGACCTCTCCCTTTTCTGTTGTTAAACTTCTGCTCCATTGCCTAAAATTCATTTTTAGTTCTTTTCATTCATTTTTGTTTTTCATTGCGAAATTGCAAAAGAAATGAAAAATAAAAATCTTTCAGCCATGACACAAGAAATATCCATTTTTTTATTAGAATACATTAAGCTACAACTTGTACAGACCATTCATTCGCTCGGCTTTATTCATAATTTTGCAATTCATAAGAAAATCTCTTGTGATTTAGATTGATTTGTTGCCTTTCATCATAAAGTTCGTGCATACATTGGAATTGGAGATTACGAAAGACTTCAATGCGTGAATTGTTGAGGTATAGAATATGCTGACTGCATAAAGAAGGTGATATCTATTGATAGATTCAGATTTGATTTGTATTTATATATTTAGTGCGTAGATTTATTTAAATGGATTTATGATCGTGGTGGGAGCTTGCTGCTTTAAGATTTGAGATTTTTAACAAGGGGATTTAGGGTCGTGCAATCATGGTTTATCTTCTTTATTCCCTCTGAATTTGCAAACACTTACACAGAAGAGAATAAGCCAGGAAGATCCAATATCTCCTGACAGTCGATCATTGCGAAATAGTCAAGCATGGGTACCAGTTAATTGTAAAAAAATGACCCTATGAACCTAAGATCGTTCCTGAGAATTACATTGCCGTCTCCAAGTAACATCATGGTATCAAAAATATCATGTTGGTCCCAAAAACCAGTTAAAATTTTCTCCAATTTCAGTAGCATTTACCCCGTTCACTATTTATTGAATCGATGTGCTAAATCATTCATCATGCACTAAATGAATAAAATAAATTTATGAATAAAACAGCACGAAAGCATCTATCGCGTAAAATATATGCCCTGAATTAAACCATTTAATATCTTGATATTAGCTTGAGATTAAGAAAATGATTGACGATATTTCTGCGTCTGTCAATAAATAAGGTATATAAGGTAGTTGAAACGGACTTGAATGCTATTCATTAATCGAGAAAAAACTTGTGTAGGTGGATAGACTTTGTATAAATTAATTATTTTATTCATTCTCACATAATTAAAATGTAGTCAAAGAGAAAAATACAAGCCGTCAAAATGTGATGATAATCAGCCAATG